CCACCAATTTATTCAATCATCTTCAACGCCAACAGATCAATGCCAATGAGTACCAATACGACTACTGTAGTCATTTGTTTTGCCTAGAGAAACTACTTCTAAGAAACGCTAAGTTCTTCTTGACATTGTCAAAAATTTTCATCAAACATTAAAGTTGGTGTGGTAATGTTTACCTCAGACTGTGTGGAGATGACAATTCATCATGAACTCGGAGACCCTGGAGTTTAGTAACTTGATCACTCAAGTGTTCAGTTAAGAGTATGAGAGTACAACTGAATGGCTGAATCTTACACACGCTGGCTAAATATCAGTTTCTCCATGTTCCATGGTGGGTTTCTCTCCACGAGCCCTAGAAAATTTTCTCACCATGTCTTACTAGACTCACCTTATTAACGACCTAGCCAGCCCTATGGCAACCTTATCATCTGATTCTAACCCCATGCTTCTTCTCACTATAACCGGAACAGATCACCATTGCAGGTTTATTCCAGAATGGCTGATGCTAACTTTAAGAAGCTGTTGTATATCCAGAGAGGCATTGTTAGACTGGAGCTGCCTTGCATGGTTCCTGGGCATGCTCTCGATGTGGTACAGAAGGGAAAATTGATGCCCTGTTTGCAAGTAGGGATATGGAGGCCCTCATAGGAGGGACATTCTTTTCCCTGAAGCAGTGGAAGACATGACCCCAAACCTGGTCCGAGGTTGCCAACCGAGATGCCAGTGCAGTCTCAGCCACCTGGAGGAATGCAGAGCACTGGAGGAAGAGGCTCAGTGACTTTCTTTACTCCACCAGGGTAAGGGCCATTATCTTCCCTCTGATATCTCACATTCACTCTGTCTCTGCTACTATATTCTCCTCCCACCAAAGCTTATGTTCCACCACTCTCATTATTGCCTGCAACATCTTCCCCCTTTCACACTCACACACAAAATCACCTGACACTCTAAACCTGCATGTCCTCTGTGGCTCACAATATCATTGAAAGGGTCAAGGGTAGTGGTCTGCCCAACATTCAGTTCCTCAGCCCTTACAAGAAGAACATCCTGGCTTATGACCACCTCGAGCAGAAGACTGACCCTGGAGTGGTATCAGGGGTTGCACAGTACTGCTGTATTGCCATGCCATTTAGCACAGGCACAAAGCAAGGAAGCTTGTCATGGTTGGCAGCAGTGCCAGGAGCCACTGACTGAAGGCTGTCTACTTTGCTTTGACTGTGGGTGGCAGAGTAGCTCAGTGGGCAGCACTGCTACCTCACAGCACCAGGGACCTTGGTTCAATCCCAGTGCTGGATGACTGTGTTGGGATTGTATGTTCATCCCATGCCTGCATGGGTTTCCATCAGATCCTCCAGTTTCCTCCCACAGTCCAAAGATTTGCAGGTTAGGTGGATTGGCCATGCTAAATTGCCCCATAATGTCCAGGAATATGCAGTCTGGATTAGCCATAGGAAATGCTGGGTTATGGGGATAGAGTGGGGAACTGAGTCTGGGTGTGATGCTCTTCAGACTGTCGGTGTAGATTTGAAAGGCCAAATGGCTTTTTTCTGCACTGTAGCGATTCTATAATTCTATGCCTGCTGCCAACCATGACAAGCTTCCTTGCTTTGTGCCTGTGCTAAATGGCATGGCAATACAGCAGTACTGTGAGGCTGGTATTTCTGGCTGAAAGGTAACATGCAGAAAGGCAAGGATAAAATGAGCATCCAGGTAGTCTCAAAGTAAATGACCACTAAGAGAACAAGTCTACAGGCCTTAGACGCAGCCTTGTCCAATCTATGATCTGGATGCATGTCTCTGAGCACAGTTTCCTTGCTGCAGCATTACTACGATAGGTACCTTTGTGTCCGGAGGTGCAGTATTGAAGTGCAAAATTGTACTGGAAATGGATTGGAGATGTGTCATGAAGGTTCATAGAGACTGGCACATGTCAGATGCCATTGTCAGTGGTTGTGGGGTGTGTGTGTGGCTGGTGCCCACTGAGCATACCCTGCGATGTTGATGCCTGGTGTCCAAAGTGGAGGTCCTGAGGAGCACACACTGAGATGAAGTCGCCAGGAACCCGCACTAACTTGTATGTCAAGCATTCTCTGCACCTGGTTCAGACACAGAAGATGGTTTGATAGAAAATTAAATATTAATGAGGTAAGGTGTGCTGTCAATAAGGTCATTAGCAACAAATAATCAGTCGTAATAGGCAATGCGTCTACTGCCGAGTAAAAATCTTGCCTTGATGCCCAGAAAGTTAAACATAAAAATGCAGAAGATAGGAGCAGGAGGAGGCCATTCAGCCCTTTGAGCCTGCCCCGCCATTCTTCATGATCACGGCTGATCGTCCAACTCAATAGCCTAATCCTGCTTTCTCCCCGTAACCTATGATCCCATTCACCCCAAGTGCTATATCTAATTGTCTCTTGAATACATTCAATGTTTGCCTTCAACTACTTCCTGTTGAAATGAATTCCACAGGCTCACCACTCTTTGGGTGAAGAAATGTCTCCTCATCTCCGTCCTAAGTCGTCTACCCCGAATCCTCAGACTGTGACCTCTGGTTCTGGACACATCCACCATCAGTAACACCCTCCCTGCATCTACCCTGCCTAGTGCTGTTAGAATTTTATAAGTCTCTATGAGATCCTCCCCTCATTCATCTGAACTCTAACGAAAACAATCCCAACCTAGTCAATCTCTCCTCATACGTCAGACCCGCCATCCCCAGAACCAGTCTGGTAAACCTTCGCTGCACTCCCTTGAGAGCAAGAGGATCCTTCCTCAGAAAAGGAGAACAAAACTGCATGCAATATTCCAAGCATGGTCTCACTAAGGCCCTGTATAACTGCAACAACACATCCCTGCTCCTGTACTCGAAACCTCTCACAATGAAGGCCAACATACCATTTGCCTTCTTTACCGCCTGCTTCCCCAGCATACTTACCTTCAGTAACTGGTGCACAAGGACAGTCAGGTCCAGCTGCACACTCCCCTCTCCCAATTTATAGCCATTCCGGTCGTAATCTGACTTCTTGTTTTTGCATCCGAAGTGAATAACCTCATATTTATCCAAATTATACTGCATCTGCCATTGATTTAACCACTCACCCAACCTGTCGAGATCATGCTGAAGGATCTCTGCATCCTCATCACAGTTCACACAACCACCCCACCCAACTTGGTATTACCTGCAAACTTGGAGATGTTACATTTTGTTACCTCATCCAAATCATTAGTATATATTGTGAATAGCTGGAAGCTGGAGTCCCAACACCAATCCCTGTGGTACCCCACTAGTTACTGCCTGCCAATTTGATACAGCAAGTTATTCCCAACATTGAAAAAGGCCTTGCTGAACTTCCCATGCAGTTCTGCCACATTTGTTACCCCAAGCCATATCATTCCAGCCTCTCTAAGATGCCAACCCACTCTGGTGCTTAGTAATACCAGAAGTTGCCATAGTTTCTGGTGTATAAATTGATCTCTGAAGCCTCAAAAATGCCTGTATTAAAATGGGGATTAATTTATATGCCAAATGTAAAAGTCAACCATCAGCATTGGTCTGGGTGGTCACCATTTTTGTCATTTGTTACAAGGGATTTGCTCTATGTGGACATGTTTTAAATCCTCTGTATGGTCACAACACAGCCAGTATCCACTATTTGCTCCGTTGGACCTGGTTATACAACTAAGTAAACCTTCCACCTTTGAGGTGAAAAATTGAGGCTGAACTCTAATATGAATATAGATGGTGTAGCTGTAAAGAGGGGTCAACTTTTAAGGGGAGTGTACAGAAAAGCATGATTGTTGGGCTGAAAAACAGTGTTGACTGATACAGATATAAAGATAAGAAAAGTTATATCTGAAATACCAAGTGATTCTTTTTATTCCTCTCCCCCACTTTTCTCTGTGACCTTCACCTTGAAGGCATTAACTTCAGACTTGTTTAACTTCAGACCCAAGGTGATCAGCCATCTCCGTCTCCTTCACCCATCCTGACCACTTTTCATTTGTGAATCCACTCAAGCGAACCTTTGCAAGCCCAGTCCTGTCCTTGTCTAATGTTTAACAGATATCATTACACTAAGGGATGCTGAATAGTGATAAAGAACAGAATTCCTGGCGTATCTTCTCCAATCTAACTCCGTGTTACCAAGGCAAATTTTAGTCTTCTTATTGTTGCCAATTCTGAGGTCAGTCGATTGATTTCCAATGTGTTTAATGCAATAGGGATGAGCCAGAGAACAACGTGGAAGTAAGATCCATTTACATCCAGTTTGGTTGACTTCCACTAAACTTGACTTTACCATTACAAGCTTCAATTGTAAGGATTGAAGCCAAGCTATCTGTCAAAGAATGAATGACAATAAAAGTACAAATAATTTATTTCAAGCTGTTCTGCTACTCCAATTTTCTCCAGTCATTGATTGAAGACTCTAAGTAATGTTTAAATATGGTTCCATGAGTGTCAATACTCTATTGGTATGCGAGTGACCATTTTCACATTTGAATGGAGAGAAGGGATTAGATATAACATTTACCTGAAGATTTCTGGTATATACTTTTTCAGGAAACAGGTATTGCAATGTTGAAACTCCATCGTTTTCCTTTGATTATTCCTCTGTAAAGCACATCTCAATGCATTATGGTGCTAAGTAAGTGCAAATATTTTTTGCTGCTGCAGGTGTAATGGCAAGTCAGCCAGTTACTCATCAAACCAGCATTTGAGTGTAATCAATCCACTAATGTTTGTGTCTTAAAAACGGATGTTTTTTATGGTCTCAAAACATTAACCACAAATGTTGCCAGACCCTCTAATTTTCTCCAGCAATTTCCGTTTTTGTTTCCGATCTCCAACATCCACAGTTCTTTTCTAAATGTTCACGTCCTGTTTGTTGGGCATCGAATACCAAGGGCTATGAAGGAAATATTTATAAACAATGAGTCACCAAAGTTATCAGAGGCACCAAAACCCCAATGAACCAACAGTAACAAAACTCCTATTTAAGGCATCTACTGCAAGTGCCTTGTCATGACTTTGGCTGCGATGCGTTGACTTGTGTTTCCATCAGCTGTTCACTCCTGCCGTAACTGATGTGTGATGACCTTCCCAGGCTACTGAGTGGCAATGCATGTGGATGAACAGTTGCCAGCATTGTGACTGAATTAATTATGGAATGTCTTCCGATCAGGCTGCTATTAAACCCTTGCTTCCATTGCTGCTTACCACCCATGGCAGGTTAAGCTATGGAATGGGAGATTAGCTGAAATAATTGAAATGCGCTGCTCTATCAAGTGGAAGTGAAGGTGTTAACCCTTTAACATGCTTCTTCGCGCACCTTTGTGAAACACCATGGAGTTCTTATTTATTCAGCAGAATAATTGCTAAGAAATGGACCCTGTGATCTTTCTGTTTGCTCACAGGGAAGCTTAGCTCACAGGAGAAACTATTCATGCAGCTCACAACAGTGCTGTAAGAAAAGGTTCAACGGGAAGAAAAAGAGTATTTTAGACCGCCTGCCCCATACAAGGCCATCATTCATATGCAGGTAACCCTCTTTGCTTTTTAAAATGATAAATGAAGTAGAAGACTACAGATAAAGGAAATAATGAATCTATTTTCAGTTCACATTCAATCTCTAATGCTCAACTATCTGAAGCATGCAGGCTGAATGATTAAACTTCGAGCTTTATTGGGAGAAGCAGGAGAATAGTGGTGACAGATTATGTTGGGGGAGGTGGGGAGAGAGACATGTTTGTGCATGTTGTGGAAGATCATTGTGGTAGCGTGCCAATAAGTGCGCAGATGTCAAAATTTCTTACTTCACAAGGATTCTTTTGCTGTACATTGATCCATTTCATATCAACAAAAGGCAGAAAATTTACAAAGCAGGAACAAAAGCTTCGAGCCACAGCCACAATTTCCTCCTATCATCTTCCCACAGATTCTAACAAAGAATGGGAAGAGTTTGGACAAATAATTATTTCGACAGTATTGTGCTATCATGAAAGACCAAGTGCTACCTCATAGCAGGAGTCTCAATCCGTACATAAATGATGGATTGACCTACTAGCACGCTTTGAAATTATACTCGGGAGAAATCTCACAAAGATAAATGAAAACTTGATGAGAAGAATAGCAAAAGTAGTTATATTGATGTGAATGTCATAGTGGTTTTATCCTTGACGAGCTTTAATGTTGTTTTTAAACTTGAATAGAGAAATTTACTCTCTATAACTATGATTGCACCCAAAATTTCACTTTTCAATTTATTTGTAATCAGCTAAAACGTAAATTGAATTTGAAATGGCATGAATAAAATTGGATCGATGTCACTCTTTTTCTGATTGCACACAACTGTTACATGGAAAAGTCAATCAGCTTTCTGGCTGTGGGTAGCTGGAAATGGACTGGAGTTGGAGTACAGTGTGTTACAGACTCAGTCACAAGATGTTGGAACATGTAGATAGACGCCACCCTTCTTCATCGAACATGTCTGCAGTAGTGAAACTTTCCTCAGTGTTTTATGAATGTGGGAAAACAACCTCTTAAATTGGAAGGATTCTCTCCTTGAAACCAGCTGAATTCTGAAAATCAAAGAACTCCTGGAGCTCTGGATCAATTGGTAACACTAGAAAGGTGTATTTATAATCAGAGCACCTTTGGCCCATAGTATATATACAAAACAATTGTATAAAATTATAATCATTTGGTCTGATTAGTGTACAAATTGTCATAATTGTTCCAAATTGCATTGTCCCAAAGGGATAAGAAATGAAATATATGTTAGAATTACTGAAATTGAATGCTTTTTGCATAATCTGTTGTTATTTTATTATCCTTCAAAGACTGGTCCTCTTTGATGTCAATCAGAAAAGAATGCTTTGCTGATATGCAGTGCTTCAATCACCAACCATACTTCTTTTTCGCTGTCTAAAGGCACATTATACTATATTTATATAGCTTTATACCTATAGGGACCTTAATCAGTATTTACATACCATGCAGATAACATCTAAGCTTATCACCCATATCTTATGGCCAGACAGTGTGATTTTTGATTTAAATATAGACCTGGTTGCAAAATTTTAGTCAGTGTCATCCTGGAGCAGCTATTAATTCATTTGTCTGTTCATTGGTCACAACAGAACCAATTCCATCAATTTAACACGTGTCTGAATTGACCCACGTTGAGCATGTTAAAGATTGGGGACAGTTAGCTACTGTGACATGAGACCTCTGATGGAAAAGCTATAAAACTCTGGGATGAAAAGATCAATGGTCGGGCAGGACTCAAACCTCTGGTAAGTCAGAGTTCGGTTTTTTACTGGTTCACTCAAAATGTAACTGGCTGATTGCCACAATGAACTTCTATAATGCTTAATTTTTTTTTCATCACAAATTTGATCCTCAACTTTTAGGGTAATTCCTATTGAAAAACACTTTAACAGGCATCATTCCTAATACATTGAAAATTAACTCAGTGAATTTCTGCTTCATGGCACAAATTGTGAAATTGGATTTTTTTTAAAAATCAGATTCTTCTATATATTCATGTGTTATTTTCATCAAATATCTTTAAGAAATATGCTTTCATAAGCTACAATTTGTTTTTGGACACCCTAGCTGTGTTCCCACCACTACAGTAGAATGGAACCCTTTTCACCGTGGATACCTCAGGCTGTTTTATCACTTGCTGGTGCCGGCACATACAAATCCAGGCATGATGAGAAAATTGCATTCCTGGAGGGTAGCTCTAAATCCCTCTACTTCCAGGACTGTCTGCAATTTTGAAAAGGGCACGCCTAAACGGTAAATAGAAACTTCACTCACCACCAATTAACAGCTCTTTAACTTCCTTAATGAGTTTGTTAAGAGATCTCCCTAAAATAGGATGGGATTTTCTATATTTTTCTGAATGAAACCAAACTTTTAGGTGCATGTTGTCAAAGGGTAAAAGGCATCTTGTTTCCATATCCACAATGCTATGAAATTCGAGGGGTCAGTTGGTGCCAGTTTGAGGAATGGAGCTCATCTTGGTGGCTATGGCTACCTTGCATCATTTTTGTCCCCTTAGCCAAGTGACAAGTTGTTCTCTACTTGGCAAAGCAGAGCTAGCCCTAACATGGCTTCTGCCTGTCTTTGCTGTTGGTACCAGGCAGGAATCCCCCACTTCCTGGGGGCATTTGAGTTTGCCTTGCCTCATGCCCAATCAGCGCACTTGTATTTGAAATCATAGTCACAGGAGCTCAGCCTCAAAGTCAGGACCAGGATTTCATCCAGGTGTTGGGCTCCTAACCAGTAAGGACAATCTGTCAAATTACCTGATACCTGAGCCCTCAAAAGTTATGATGTGCTTTAAGCCTGTCGTCCCTTTCAGAGCAATGCAATGGATGAGTTTTTTTTAAAATGGAAGTCCAGTTTTTCAATAACAGTGGATATGGAGGTGTTAATGACCATAACCAAGATTTCTAATGATTCATTGTTCAATTCTAATTCTTTCCTTTTCTTTCTCTCTCATATCCTGCCCTTTCTCTGACCCCTGGCCAGTCTTGGACATTGTCAAAAGATGACAACTTTAATCACACCCTTTCAGGCTGTGCTATTTAAAACAATAGGAATGCAGGAAGCTGTATATCTCCACTGTGTCTCTTTGGGTCTGTTGTACTCTCACACTTATTTGACTGCAAGAAGTAACTGTCAGCAACTCACTCATAAAATAAAAAGGCCACATTTCAAAACAATTAAAATAAAACTTTTTTCAAGCTAAAATAATTGTTTTATTGAGAGACGTTCCTCATTGTCAAGCAGTTTGAGAGACGTTCGTCATTGTCAAGCAGTTTGAGAGACGTTCCTCATTGTCAAGCAGTTTGAGAGACGTTCCTCATTGTCAAGCAGTTTGAGTTGCAAGACAAATTGTGGGCATGTATCAGTTTACTTCATTCCTGGAACTCACTTTCAAACTGTGGTGCAAGTTTTAAGTTTTGAACACTGCTAAAAGTCATTCTGCATACATTTAAGTTAAACTTTCTACACAATCCTGTAGTGTCTGATCATCAATTGTAACCACATATTCATGTGACTATTACGCAAATACTAATCAAATAAGTCGATACAGCCAAAGATCAATTAAATAATTCCCTGTCCGTGTTCTGACAAGCTCCTACTTGTTTCAAATGCTTATACTTGCTCCCTACTAAGTAAATAGTGCTTATTCTGTGGGACTAGGCAGTATGTATAGCCAATATTGTGAGCAGCTGAAACCCCAACAAAATATCTGATCATTGAATCATTGAAGCTAACAGCACAAATGGAGGCCACTCAGCCCATTATATCTGTGCTGACACTTAAAAGCAGTCCAACTAGTTTCCCTCCCAAGCTTTCTCCCCCAGAACTGTGTAATTTTTTGTCATCAACCTTTCATCTAATTCCCCTTTGGAAGCTATTACTAAATCTGCTTTCTTCACACTTTCAGGCAGTGTCTTCCAGATTGTAACAATTGACTGTGCGTAAAAAAAAAATCTTTGTTCCACTGCTTTTGCAAATTACCCTAAAACTGTGTCCTCTGGTTACTGACCTATTCTGTCAAACCAACTGAAATGAATGAGTCACATTTTCCGCAGTAACATAATGTACACACTGCTGGTATTTTTATCATCCTGATTAAAACTAGTTTGGGTGGATTTTGTCATTTATGTACATTTTGTATGTTTGACACACCCTGCACGCTTCCTGTCTCAGTGAAAGTGGACACCATCTTGTGTTATTTTTATAGGATGTTGTTAAAGCCCTGAGCACATTTGTAACTATTTCTAAATCAGTACTTAGAAAAAGAGCCTCTCGAAAATAAAATGCAACAAAATGCAGATGAGATCACTTCATTGATTGCGTTTGTGATACAGGAGGATATTGTAATCTAAATCAATCTGGGATCTGAACAATTTTGGCATTCTAACGCCCCAGGCTGGGTGCAGTGAAAATGTGATTTGTTAAGCTTGCGTTAAACATTATTGTGAACTCACTGAGGGTTTTGGGTAGTTAAAAATGTGATTCTGTCAATATATTAACCAGTTATTTTTAATAGCTGCAGTTAAACGTTCTGTGTAATTGAATGACTTGACTAGGAAAGTTAACTGTTTCAAGAATATTACAGATAGATTTACCTATGAACAAGGAGCACCTTGTTCTGGTACTCCTCCAGCATTTTCAATCGAATGTAACAACAGGAGTATAACTTCTTCACCTAATTATCGTTGGGTGTATTTTAATAGAATACAAAGGATGAAATGATGTCATTGGAGTAATACTGACTGTGCAATATTGTAAGGAGTGTGATATTATTTCATTTACTCAATATGCCCTACCATCAACATCCATTGCCATTGATCAGAAACAGAACTGGGCTAGCCATATAGATGTTGTGGCTACAACAACAGGCAGAGGCTGGGAATCCTGCAATGAGTAACTCACCTCCTGACTCCCCAAAGTCTTTCCACAATCTACAAGTAACAAGGCAGATATTCTCCACTTGACTGGATGAATGCAGCTCCAACGAAACTCAAGAAGTTAGGTATCATCCAGGACAAAGCAGCCCATTTGATTGGCAGTATTAAACACCCCTGCACTGTAGGTGTAAAGGAAAAGACTGTATCTCGCTCTAACTCCTGCATGCCCCAGACACCGCCAAAGGAAATAGAATTTCAGCAAATGCAAAGCAAAGAATCTCAAAATTGATTGCTCAACTATCAGTGGTAATATGATTGACATCACCCAATATAATGGCTGCAATGTCTCATCAACTATTTTCACAGATATTAGACACTGATCCCTATGTTTTAAACTTTAATTTTTTGTGGATTCACTTCTTATTTCTTATCAGTCTGTATATATATTGTATTATTTCTTTTTGTATTTAGCAGCTAATAAATTCACTTTTGTTTGCTCAAGAAAGCCTGGTTAGAATTATTCCTTTTAAAGCATGAATTCATTTCATCTGGAACGGATCTTTTCTAAATGAATCTTGTTTTGATCAATGCAGGGGGTGGGTGACTGAGGAAGGGGAGCCAGATCACTGGGAACTTTAAAATTTAGTGTCCCATGATAAATTGAGGAACTTCACAAAGGACTGGTCGTGACACCATAATTTAGCCCCTAACAACATTGGCTCTAACTCTGACAGGAGTCTTCAACCTGCAATGTTAACTCTCTCCACAGGTGCTGAGTATCTTCAGCAGTCTCCGTTTTTATTTCGGTTGTCCAGCTCCTTCAGTATTTTGCTTTTGAATGCTGGTGATTTCGTGACATCCAAATTTGATATGCATCGTGGTGAGGAATTGCAAGGATTACATTTTAAAGGGCTATAATGCATACCACAGCTGACATTAGGGTCCACAGGCAATACCATCATCATTCTAGCAGATGCCTCCAAAATAGGCAACTTGATGGAAAGTAATCAAGCTGATGTGATGGTGCCATTTCTCTCTGTGCAGATGCTGCCCAACCTGCTAAGTATTTCCAGCATCTTCTGCTTCTAATTTTCAGAATGGGTGGGTTTAGTTATAATCTGGTGACATCAAGTGGAGTATTTCCATCTTCATTGCTTGGGCAGTATTCCACATTGAACTTAAGGTTTAAAACCCACCTGATATGCATTTCATTGAAATAATGGATTGAAATTGAAGACAGAGCCTCAATCTGCTCTGCCACATAACCAGAGACAGAGATATACCTTCAAATGGTCAATTTCACATCATTTCTGCTTTAATAATATTCAGCAGCAATCATATCCATACAAAATAGAAATCCAGCAATATCAGACATTACATAATTAACAGTAGGCAGCAATTTCATTGAAATTATTCACAAAGTAACTTTTCAAATTACTTTGGTTACGTTGTTTGTTTTTACTTCTTTTCCTCAACTACCTAGAGGTTTATAGAATCATGAGGGGCATAGATAGGGTGAATAGCCAAGGTCTTTTTCCCAGAGCAGGAGAGTCCAAAAGTAGAGGGCATAGGTTTAAGGTGAGAGGGGAAAGATTTAAAAAGGGACCTAAGGGGCAACTTTATCACACAGAAGTTGGTACAAGTATGGAATGAAATGCCAGAGGAAGTGATGGAGGTTCGTACAATTACAACATTTAAAAGGTAGCTGGATGGATACATGAATAGGAAGGGTTTAGAGAGATATGCACCAGACGCTGGCAAATGGAACTAGATTAAATTATGATATCTGGTTGGCATGGACGAGTTAGACCAAAGGGTCTGTTTCCATGCTGTTTGACTCTAACTACCTAAGTTTGTGTTTTTTTAATGTGGATCTCACATTCTAACCCCACTTTTGTCCAGCTTAAGTGGACTTCCCATTAGAGATGTCCCTGGAATTTTGCCAGTCTCACAGAGCCAACTTTAAGGCTGGGGGGACGTGAATGTGAACAATCAGATCCAGACACATTGCATTCTCTCCCAGATATGTCTCCGCATCTGGAGATTTTCCTGCAATCCTGCAGCACTGGCTTTCCACTCATCTTTGTCCAGTCAGATAATCAAGGTATATCAAAGACAACCAGCCCTTTATTATGAGCAGGAAGGAGATTTTAGGGAGAGTTAAGAAGCTTCACACAGTGGCAAGATGTTAACAGGTCAGCAGAGACATCATCACAGTAGGAGGTCAGATGGACATCAAAGATTGTTGTCCATGGTACTAACACAGAGCTGGAAGGGTGAAACAGGCACAACTGCTGCATTCTTGTTGACATATTCCGCTCCACACTAACGTCTCTGGGCTTTCTTTCTCATTTGTCTCTCCAGTACCTTTCGACAGCACCTCCAATTTGACACACACTCCCGCTGTTCCCATCTGCCTCAGCAGTGCTTACCTTTCCCAGTGGGACTGTCAGTTGCAGCCCAGCATGCCCTCCCGTGGACTTCCCACCTCTGTGGAGGAATAAGAAGAGCAACAAATTCACAAATGGATGTTATTAGCAATGGAGGAAATGGCTCAAATCAACTAGTACCCCATACCAGAACACACAACCCAAGAATCTCCAAGGAGATAAGGACACCGATTTTGAACAGTACATTTTACACAAAGTGAGTTATACTGTTATCAAAAATACAGTCAGTCTTCATCATAAGCATTAGCTTTGCAGGCTACTAATTGATGGGAAAGCAGACATAATTCCCTGTTTTCTTGAACCAATTGCTTAAAAGCTGGGGATGATAGTCTTTAATCTGACAAGTAAAGTCCCCATGAGTGCAAACTGACTATTGGCAGCAAAATTACAGATCGCCCTTGGAGCCTCTGTTATAATAAGGCCTCTCTCAAAAATGTGCCTGAAGCTATAGTGCAGCACAAAAATAAGAAGCAGAATGTTAACATGAATCTGAAGCTGGCCTTATCCTCTAAATTATATTCTCTCATTCCATCTTTGATGTCACTGCCTGGAAGCTAAAATGTATCCTCCTTTTATAGAATGAGAAGTCTTGGAAGGACTGGACCCTCTTTCCCAGTACTTAAAGAAGTGGCACATAAAATGAATCATGGCCTTGTGAAGAGGATTTAGTGGAATCTTCTTCATCCTTGCTAGGGAATCAAATCAATTCAAAGAGGAGTATGATTTAATTATTACTGCAAGTAGATATTGACATCTATGTAGATTGTTTCAGTTTGTAAATATATGCATTTGTGCACCTTTAAGTGCAAAAATGCTTCAGTTAGGGTCTTACTTATTCAAGTTGGAGGTTTCTTGACACTAAACTTTAACATATGTTTGAAACTAATCACCTCTGGTAGGGAGGATTGGCCTCTTACTAGTTTGATGACTCCCAATGGCCATTAATATTTGGCCTGGTTAAATACACTTACAGGGTGCCAAAGAGTATGACCCTGATTTCAGCTTAAATAACTTTCAGCTTCTGGGTCATGATTTTACTCTTTGAAAAAATGCATTTACTGTATTATTCTGCCTGCATGTTTTTTTTTTTACGTAAGTTCCCTTGTACTTACACACAAAGGACAATAGATTTAAGAAGAAGAGTAGCTGATTGTAAAGGTTAGCTCAGATGTGTTATAGAGACAATCATAGTTTTTTTTGGGAGAGGTTTGCGTGATATGTAGATTAGGTGCACAGTGGATTAAAATCAGCAGAATGGATATATCCATTTTTTATTTCTTCTGCATTGACAAAATCTTGCAAATCTAGGTTAATACTGATGGTACCAAGGATGCCATCTGGATTCCCTGTAAAGTAATCCATTCCATCATCGTGCAGGCTACTGATTATCAGCACCACAAGAGAAATGCAAGTGATCATTCATTTTTGAGGCCATCTCATTGATGTTTAATTATAATACAATCCTGAGTCAGGAATGTGATGATACTCCCACTAACCTGGATGAGTGCAGCAAGAACAACACTTCAAGAAGCTTGACACCATCCACAACAAAACAGACCACTCAGTGGTTGCCACATGTACAAACGTTCAGTCCCTCCACACTGAAGGTCAGTGGCAGCAGTGTGTACCATCTACAAGACGCACTGCAGAAATTCACCAAGGTTCCTAAGACAACACCTTCCAACTACACAACTACGTCCATTTAGAAGGACAAGGGCAGCAATGGTTCAAGACGGGAGCTCACCGCCAGACAGACGGCAAGGATTTGTTTTTGGGACATGGAGTTACCGAGCTATCCAGATTCAGTGATCAAAATTTCCAGAGATCTCCTTATTCTCATGTTTGCTGCCTTTTGCTTTGCAACATTTACTAGGCCAGAATATTAAATAAAGTGACACCCAAGTATGTAATCTGCATCCCAGGTGGTGGGTGAGCAGTCATCGAAGCACCATACAAAGTGGACATGCGGGTAACCTGTTTTACAGGTGATAACATGACCACAGTTCCAGCTTTCAGGAACAGTTACGAAAGAAATGTGCAGGAGATTTAGTGACACAGCTTACAGCATCCCTGCCTCTGAGCCAGAAGGACTGGGTTCAAGACCCACCCAAACATTTGATTGCCAAGAAAGGTGCATTCATTCTGTAACCAAGCAGACTGAGTACCAATCTAAACTCCAATTCAACTCATACCTATGACAGAGACAGAAAGATTCCTGGCCAGCCTCATTACAAAAAGGAAGTCAGAACCTTAATTATATTATTCATAGTCCCAGAGTACAATGTGCATGCAAAAATACAACTTGCGTCAGCAACTTGGACTCTGAGTGTATGTAACATATAACCACCGACGAAATGTATGTGTAGCTGCAGCCTAGGTGTAATCTTGAAGTATGACAGGTACTGTTTTCTGCAGGTTCAGAATCATGGTTTCAGAATCCAGAGGTCCCAGCCACTCGCCCCCTGAAACACCACCAGCCCCACCTGTAGCAGAGTCTGTGGCTCCATGACTAGGCTATTGAGTCACTGCAACACCACACCCCTCACTGTACATCCCATCACCACCCCCCCCACCCCACAGTGTGTAGGCAAGTCATCCTCGTTCCGGAGGGACTGCCAAAGAAAGAAGAAGCTCATAGTTTAACAGACTAGGAGAGAACTCTGCAAAATGATCATCTATTTGGGGCAGGGGAGCACTGACTTCTCTTAATTTGACAAACTTCCTCAGGTTATTAAATTCTTTTTTTACATTCACTCCAACACACTTGCTGATATTTAAGGCAATTACTCTCATACCTCCTGACAAGCTGATTATGGAGCTTTCCTAATAGAAAGACACACCTGGCCCCGCAGAGAATCCAGCTTAGCTAGACTTCTGGCACAAGTGGTTTTAAAGCAATATCTTACAACAAGATGACTGTCACATGTTTGGAATTTATTTTATGCCATCTTC